ATAGCCCCTGCGTGGGCGCACCTTTTGCTCTGTTGGTCTTAGAGCACTGTTTTCTTTACTTTTTATGTGCCATTGATAGCCCCTGCATGGGCGTTTTCTTGTTGCTCATGTCTTCTTGAAGTGTTTATAAATCAATAAAAACCATTGAAATACAAAAAACGCACCAGGTGAAAACGCAGAGCTATGAAACTGTCCCAGAGGAAATCATGTTAAATGGACTTTAGTGCGCTTCTGCAAAATGCTGTAGAAAACAGAAAACTAGGGTAAGGGCTCATTTTCACGTTCGGTAGCCGTTGCCGCTCATCTGAAATGTGATCTGCAGTGCATTGCTTTTCAAAGGTGTTTTACAGGTGGAGAGGAGGTGATAAGTTGCCTTCTCACCACATGCTTTAACTTAGAATATGTCATCCCATTGCGCCGCAACCATTTGCATTGCATTGCATGTGCAGCTGCATGCCCTTGTTTAGGTTAACCGTAAAACTGTGGCTCAAACATATCCTTTTACTGCTCCCTCACCACACATCTGAATGGGCCTTTATATTGTGGTGTAAGTACAGTTGTGACACTTTCTTTCTAGTGGAAGTTACACATATTGGCATACATACTGTAGTGGAATTCCTGTACTTGGACACACTCGTTTATAATTTGGTTATGAGCCACCTCCTGACAACCAATCAGGTGCAAGTCTGCACTGAAAATGAAAGATGATTAATGTCATTTGATATTGGATTGGTTGCTATAAGACATAAGGCCAACTGTTACAAAAATGATGTAGCGCCCTCTAGTGTAGATAGCTGTTTAGTGTAGCTACAGGCTTGCTAGAAGCCTAGGTTTAGCTGGAGGGTTTACTTCAGGTCAGTGCTGGAGAGCTCTACATGTCAGTCCTCTGGTACCTCCCCCTGTTCTAGAAGCTTGGAGAATTTTCTAGAAGTCAGTATGTGGAGGTGGGGAGAGGCTTCCGTGCATATTTATGAGAGTCTGGCCAATCCCAGGCAGGAGGCCTAGCAGATCAGCCCATAAATATGACAGAGCCTGGCCAGCAGGGGAGTTGGGTGGAAGATGGAAGTGCTCAGAGGTGCTGCTGTGTGGACTGGGAGGGGGCCCCAGAGAAGGGGGGTCTTGCTTCCAGGCTGGAGGCTGGAAGCTGGGGGAGGAAGCTGAAAGAGGGAGCTCCACTGCCCTGCAGCTCACTGGGGAAGGACAGCCTTCCAGGTTTTGGAGAGTAACCAGCCCAGCTACAGAGGTCTGAAAGTAATTCTATCCACAGGTGCAGGACAAGGACAGTGTGAGTACATCTACACCCCCAGGGATAGAAGGGAGAAGTATGCTGGGTTTCTGGCAAATCTTCAGGGAACAGTTCATAGCTTACCCAATCCCTTGTCCTGGAATCAGATACTGTAGCCAGATGGGCTTGTATTTTAAACACTTAGGGGACCTAGAGCTCCTACAAGTTGGGATTTTGCTAAAGAGACTGTCATGGTTCCGGCTGGACCACAGTCATTCACCTGCCATTTTTGTAGCATTTTTTGAGGAGGATGTTGTCCTCAAATTGTTATTCTGCAGTAAAAATGGGCACCCCATAACCCCTATACCCTATCCAAGTTAAATTCCTTAATACTAAAGAACCAAGCCCATCGACTGTACTTGTTTCTGGTTGCAAGTGGAAAATGCCTGTTTCCTGGTTGTGCGGGAAGTAAAGGGAGACCCTAAACCAGTGGCTCTCAAAAGGGTAGAAATACAATAATTATGTAGCATTACAATGCTTAGAGCAGAAACACTAGTAGATCTTCGGGAGTAGTAGCTGGTTTAAGAGCTATGTGACTCAAAAACAGGGCACTGTTCAAGCAAAATGAGCTTTGTGGTCATGCATTACAAGTACACAAGCCGAGCAGCTGCTATAGGAGCACATCTCCAAACACTTCATTAACGTTCCCAGAAAATTCTCAGTTGTGAGGCCCCGGAAGACTTGGATCCTAAAAGTTATTGTTCATCAGGTAATGAATAACAGAAATCCTTTGAAGTATGAAGGACCTTCGTCAGGCTCCTTGTTACCATCATCACCTGCCTGCCTTCACTCATTTGTGACTTCCTTCCATATAGGCTCAACACATGTAGGAACAAAGCATATACTATTTCCACTGTTACAGAATTATAGATGTTAGATTTTAGGTGTCATTGATAGTTATATCTCTTACCAAAAATAATGGACATTGTTCTTGTAAAAATTGCATATTTACCAAGCACAACAAAAAGGACTCCCATCCCCTTTATAGAAAATAAGACAACATAAAACATAAATAAGTGCACTTACCTACCTACTGTACATGCTGCCTCTCCTTTTGATTTTGTCTTTTTGTGGTGCCTCTCTGCTGCCTGTGTCCTTGCTCCCATGCTACCATTTTGAAAATCCTTTTAGGGTCCGCTCTTAATATAGCTTTAGTGACCATGCTCAAGGTGGAGTGTATGATGGCATGCAGCTCATCTCACTCATATGCTGAATGACTTTGCAGATGGATGAATCGCAAGATCAGCTGCATGATGTTGTGCACATGCACGGTACAATGCTGCAAGATCTTGTGAGATATCGCGAATTAGGTGTAAAATCTCCCTAAAGGCACTGATGATGTTGCCTTCCCAGGGGGCTTCAGTTCAGAGAGGGCTATGTCATCAGGAAAACCAAGAATTGGACACAAAAAAAAAGGTAAGTAAATCAATTAAATTTAAAAAAAAACTGTTAGATGATTTCACATCAGTATATTTCTACTTATGTCTTATTTGCTAGCAAATCTTTTGAAATACCTTCATCTCCAAAATAAAAATGCTGCTTCCAAATTTATCTCTTTCCATAGAGGGTGTCCCACCAAATATAATATAATATTGGGGCCACTGACTACAACAAGCCAGTGCCTGTGTATAGTTGCCCTTTTCATTTCTCCCAACCCAGAATCATTGGAATCAGTTTATCACCCAGCCAACTTGTTCTCCCTAAAATAACCAACTCCCCTTATGATTTCATCTTAAATACTCAAGAGAAGATGTAAGTATCATCATGTTTATGTATGGAACGTGTGATATAATGCAGAGCTTAAAATTTCAAGTCCTGAGCTATTAGCCAGGCCTTAGAGTTACTCGCCACCAACAAACACACACAAACAGAGACACCTGTACACACACACACAGACATGTACATACACACACAGAAACATGTACACACACGCACAGAGACACATGTACACACACACACATACAGACAGACACATGTACACACACAGGCACGTACAGACACGCATACACACAGATACATATACATACACAGAAATACACACGCACAAACACTCGTACATACACACAGACACATGTACAGTTGTGACCAAAATTATTCAACCCCCACTGAAATTGAGTGTTTTGGCCAGTTTGACATTGCTTTTGATCATTCAGTCATCTTGCTTACATTTACATTAAAGAGGCACTTGTAGGTCAGACAAATATAACATAACAGTTATAATGAAATAACCACAAATGTCTTTTCTGTGCTCACAGCATTATCAGTTTTATTCAACCCCCAAGTGACATTCAATCTTAGTACTTAGTACAGCATCCTTTTACAGTTATAACAGCTTTTAAACGTGAAGCATAGCTTGACACAAGTGTCTTGCAGCGATCTACGGGTATCTTCGCCCATTCTTCATGGGCAAAGGCCTCCAGTTCAGTCACATTCTTAGGCTTGCGCACTGCAACTGCTTTCTTTAAGTCCCACCAGAGGTTCTCAATCGGATTTAAGTCTGGTGACTGCGATGGCCACTCCAAAATGTTCCAGCCTTTCCTCTGCAACCATGCTCTAGTGGACTTGGAGGTATGCTTGGGATCATTGTCCTGTTGAAAGGTCCAACGTCTCCCAAGCCTCAGGTGTGTGACGGACTGCATCACGTTTCCATCCAATATCTCCTGGTACTGAAGAGAATTCATGGTACCTTGCACACGCTGAAGCTTCCCTGTACCTGCAGAAGCAAAACAGCCCCAAAGCATGATTGACCCTCCACCATGCTTCACAGTAGGCAAGGTGTTCTTTTCATCATAGGCCTTGTTCTTCCTCCTCCAAACATAGCGTTGATCCATGGGCCCAAACAGTTCTAATTTTGTTTCATCAGTCCACAGAACACTATCCCACAACTTTTGTGGTTTGTCCACATGGCTTTTGGCATACTGCAGTCGACTCTTCTTATTCTTTGGAGACAGCAAGGGGGTACGCCTGGGAGTTCTGGCACGGAGGCCTTCATTACGCAGTGTGCGTCTTATTGTCTGGGCTGAAACTTCTGTACCCCCACATCTGACAAATCTTTTCTCAGTTCCTCAGCAGTCACACGGGGACTTCTCTCCACTCTACGCTTCAGGTAGCGCACAGCAGTCGAAGTCAGCATCTTCTTTCTGCCACGACCAGGTAGCGTTTCAACAGTGCCCTTTGCCTTGAATTTGCGAATGATGCTTCCTAAGGTGTCTCTTGGTATGTTTAACATCTTTGCAATCTTCTTATAGCCATTGCCCTTCCTGTGAAGAGAAAATCACCTCTTCTCTTGTCTTCCTGGACCATTCTCTTGCCTTCACCATGTTTGTAACCACACCAGTAAATGTCTAGAAGGAGCTGAGTATCACAGTCATTTTAAAGCTGCCTAATTGGTGCTTATTATGCTTGATTGCTGCTCGGTGACATCCACAGGTGTTTTCAATACCTGATGGAAAGCACCTGTATGAACCTCTGTTCTTCAGAGTGGTAGTCTTTAAGGGGTTGAATAATTGTGGCAATGAAGAAACCACATAAGAACCATTTACTACTGTATTACATAAACAATTGATGTCATTTTAGTTGCATTTGGGTAGTTACAACGTCCTTGTAGGATTTGATTCTGAATACAATTCCAAATGTACACTATAGTCCCTAAACCCCTTTACAGCATTGGGGGTTGAATAATTTTGGTCACAACTGTACATACATACACAGACACATGTACACACAGACACATGTACGTACATACACTCAAACACACACACACATGTACATGCGCACACACACACATACATGTACATATACGAAGACACATGTACAGATACACACATGTACATACACGCAGACACATATACAGATACACACATGTACATGTACAATTCTACATGCATACACAGACACATACAAACACACACACGTACCCCCCCCTTCCATAAAAAGTTGCAGTACTTCATTGTTCATTCACAGATCCGGGTACTGCACTCTAGGGGGAGGCAGAGAGCACAGCACACACTCCTTGCTTTGCTTTCACTGCGCACAGTGCCAATGACAGATCTGGCCTGAGCTCCGAGCCTGCTCAGCAAGCAGACCCTGGGGGACACACTCACCCCCACCGTAATTTCCACTCGCCATAGGTGAGCAGGAGAGTGGAAATTTCAAGCCCTGATATAATGTGATGATGCTTTTTCATCGAAGGCCTAATTTTCTGCACATTTAACTCTTTATGTCCACATATATTGCTTCTCTGACCTCTATATGCACATGCCTGTAGTTGTGGGTATAGGTTTATTTACCTCACCTCTTACAACTAAGTGACAAATTGTTTCTGTTTTGTGCTTGGATTTTTAGGCTGTGCATCCTGTTTACATAGTTGCCGAAACCTGGTATTACATAGTTAGTCTGGCCGAAAAAAGACAAAAGTCCATCCAGTTCAACCATTAAAAAAAAAAAAAAAAAAAAAAGTTATAATCCTATCCCCACAGTTGATCCAGAAGAAGGCAAAAAAACCCAGCAAAGCATGATCCAATTTGCTCCTGCTGGGAAAAAAAATCCTTCCTGATCCCCGGAGAGACAATTGGATATTCCTGGAACAACTTTACCTATAAATGTTAGTATCCAGTTATATTCTGTGTATCTAGGAAAGAATCCAGGCCTTTTTTAAAGCAATCCACTGAGCTGGCCAGAACCAACTCTTGAGGGAGTCTATTCCACATTTTCACAGCTCTCACTGTGAAGAAACCTTTCCGTGTTTGGAGATTAAATCTCTTTTCCTCCAGACGTAAAGAGTGCCCCCTTGTCCTCTGTGATGACCTCAGGATGAATAATTCTACACCAGGGGCGGACTGACCATTTGGAAACTCGGGCACTGCCCGAGGGCCCGGGGTCAGTAGGGGGCACCATGAGATGCCCCTGGTACCTTTTTCATAGGCTTTTTTGAGTTAGGGCAAGGACATAGGGGCCCCATGATCCTCTATTGCCCAGGGGCCCCATGAGTTTTCAGTCCGCCCCTGCTCTACACCGAGTTCACTATATGAACCACTGATGTATTTATACATGTTGATCATATCCCCCCTTAATCTCCTCTTCTCAAGAGAGAATAAATTCAGCTCCTCTAATCTTTCCTCATAGCTGAGCTCCTCCATGCCTCGTATCAGTTTGGTTGCCCTTCTCTGTACTTTCTCCAGCTCCCAAATGTTCTTTTTTTGAATTAGTGCCCAAAACTGAACTGCATATTCCAGATGAGGTCTTACTAATGATTTGTACCGGGGTAATATGATTCTCTCTCTCTGGAGTCTATACCTCTTGTAATTCAAGAGAGGATTTTGCTCGCTTTAGAAACTGCAGTCTTGGCATTGCATGCCATTATTAAGCTTGTGACCTACCAGCTTTATTCTTTCGATAAAGAATAATCTTTTTAATGAAAAATGCTGCTTCCTGCCTTCCATCGCCAGTGCTCTGTCCTGACATAGCTGAGTAACAGCCACACGTCTGATCACAAACTTGCATTGCAGAGAAGGGATGCTATCTGGTTGTCGCAAAAGACTGGAAGAAGCTGGCTGTATATGTTTGACCTGTAGGCTGGCCATACATTATATAATATTTTTGAACAATTTTCCTTTGAATTTACCAAAAGCATATAATATGAACTGGTCAAACGAGGTGAATGTGGCATGGTTGTTGGTTCTGGTCTGAGTATTTCAAAAACTGCTGATCTACTGGGATTTTCTCAACACAACAATCTTTAGGATTTACAGAGAATGGTCTGAAAAAGAGAAAATATCCAGTGAGCGTCAGTTGTGTGGACGAATATGCCTTGTTGATGTCAGAGGTCAGAGGAAAAAAGGCAGACTGGTTGCTGCGACATTCAGATGGTAGGGTCAGAATTTGGTGTAAACAACATGAAAGCATGGATCCATCCTGCCTTGTATCAATAGGTTCAGGGTGGTGGTGGTGTGGGGGATATATTCTTGGCACTAACAAGGTGTACCTAATAAAGTGACCAGTGAGTGTATGGTCAGCTTTACTCTTCTTGTAAGAATCTGTCCTATTTGCATTTTTCACTTGTGCTTACAATGGCATGATTGGCCAGTTTGCCTCCGCAATGAAGTCTCCAGAGTACAAAGCTGGCATAAGTGTTCCTTTTGACCAGCCAAACACCCCCTGCTTTAATAAATTAAATTTTATTTAAAGAAAAATAAACATTTTATAAATTAAAAAAAAAGGCCCCAGTTAAGGGCCCTGTCCAATTCTACATGGAAACGATGAAGAGGTGCCTCAACTGCTGTTATGAATACAGTTACAAGTCACACTGAATATATAGCTATCCATAAACAGACAGCTAGAAGAGATGTACAAAACAATCCATAGATACTATGTAATGTAATGTTAAGTAGAGATTAATGTATGCAGCATTCATATCTGTGTGGTTACTTTATTACTTTTGCATGGTGGGTTTTTAAAGTAGCTAGCAAATAAGCGAGTAACTCTGGACAAACAGCTAAGTATGTTGGTTAAATACATACAGTACATGTAGACTGTTTTATCTGCCAAAAGAGTTGCACTTCTGCCACATACAGCCAGGAAGGTGATGCTTTGATTTTCTGATTCAGAAATGCAGGGTTGGTGTCACCCGATGAGATAACACTTGTTGACACCCCCTCTGACGATCCCCGTAGAATGGATCGGATCTGCGGATTGAGCATAATGAATTGGACTCTGATCCATTATGCTCTCCCAATCCGCAGATCTGATCCATCTTGCGGGGATCGTCGGCTTTCTTTACAACTTACCTTTTTTTCGTGAAGCAGATCCGGTGTCGCCCTGTGCAGTAGGTGTCACCCGGTGCGGCGCACCTGCGGCGCACCTGCCTCGGGACACCACTGCTCTGTGTCACCTCTATGCCTTCAACAATTGTGAGGGAGGCATGTCAGACTGCTGTAAACCCGAACCGCTGCACACCATGTGAAAGTAGCAGTTTGGCTCCCAGTGTGAGACCGACATTTTGTACAAATGTACAGTGTGACTGTACATTTTACACTACAAATATTCTTTACTTGTCATAACACCTTCTAAACCAAGGCCTCAATTTGGCTTTAAAGCCTCTGGTTCCTGCCTACATCTGCCCCACAGGCAGGACTACCTCTTAAGTCAAAGGCATCCATGCTGCTCAGCAGTACACCCTGTGCGAAAAAATAGCTGACAACAAGAAGAGGATCGCTGGCAAAGTTTGCAGCAAATCCAGTTATTTGAACCCTATGAATGGGCCCAACACTGATTCCCACTTTGCCTGAACGCCATATTAACTTTGTTAAATGTTATGGCTATAAATACTGCAAACAGAAAGTGCTCTGACCAGGTGCATTAGGTTTCTAAAATAATCTATAAAATGCACCCAAAAGTAAAAGTGGAACAGCACATCTTAAAACAACCTACAGAGTGTGGAGATGGTACATGGAAAGAGCACACCATTGTCAGAGCGGTGAAGTAAACAGCCATGCGTGGTGATGACATTTCTGGTGGCTGGACATGTTGCAGTCCATTGGTACAGACTTCCAGGTCACATACAGTAACAAGGCAAGATGTTTTAGAGGTATATCCCCAGATGCAAGAAATGGGATATCATTCTGAAAGGCATTCTTTGCATTAGCTCAGTAAAGGGACTATCCCTGCCTTGAAGCGGTAGTAAACCACATCTAAAAAAGAAAAATTAAAAATCCCCTGCAAGGTAATGTCTTAATGTGCTAGTATGCATTGCATACTAGCACATTATGAAGGACTCATCTTAAAAATGAAGCCCTCCAGTGGCACGCTGTCACCGCTGCAGAAGGCTTCCATCTTCACTGTCTTCCTTCTGGGTTTGCAAGCTCCAGCTGTCTGACTGACCAAGCCGCAATGAAGTCCCAGGCCACGTCACAGTGCTCTGAAGGAATGGCACAGGTATGAGGGAATATCTCCTAAACAGTGCATATTTAGGAGATATTCCATAATATGTGAAAAAAGCAGCGAGCGCTTAGTAAAAAAGCAGCTGTGCACTAAAAAGGAACCATAAACCTTCTAAAAGACATGTATAAAATGTTTGTGCAGTGCTAAAAGATATAAAAAAATTATGCAATAAATATTGTCCTGATGTACATAAAAATGGGAGAACAAGGGGGTATAAAAGTTCAAATGAATAGCTAAATCAACTCCACATATAATTTTAATCAAATCCACATGTAAATGAATATGGCCAAAGTTCCAGGTGACTTGATTATTCCCAGTTGTGCATAATTCAAGAAGTCCGGTGAGGTGCGGGATAAAGATAAAATGTGCACTCACCAGATGTGCATTAGTATTGCGCAATGTAATATATTAAATGGCACACCCCTTTTGAGAACGTACTATCGTATGAAACGCATCAAGAAGGAGCCTACACACCGTGACGTCACGCCGCCGGATCATGGAGGTCCGGCGGCCATTATAACTACCTAGCTGGTCAGTGCTTTTAGCAGCTTTATGCTGCATGTGATTACTAATCTGCATATGATGCGTGTTATGCCCCCTTGTTTTATGTACATCAGGACAATATTTATTTTATTTAATAAATATATATAATTTTTTTAAATCTTTTAGCGTTGCACAAATATTTTACACATGTCTTTTAGGAGATATTCTGTTTATTATAAGCTTACCTGTTGGTAAAAGTATACAAAATGAGTTTACTACCACTTTAGGAAGGTGCCTTAAGAAGCTACAAGACCTAGGCTTTACCTAACACACATGGCCAGTTTCCTCTTGGCTCAGAATTGGACAAGGAGGAACTGTTTTGGCTTGAACTTGACAAAGGCATGTTTTGTGTGCTGCTGTTCTTTTTCCTTTTTGCTTCTTTGGTGTCAGTAAATAGCTCCACATTGTGGTTATCACCCGTTCTTTAAAATTAAAAAATACTATTGTAACCTGTAACAGCTTTCAATTTTAATGAGGTTAGGATGCAGATAAAATGTTATCTGGTGTAGGTAATATAAATTACGTTTAGCATGGGGAATGGGAAGTCTTCTTAGAATTGTTGTAAAGACTTTTCCTTTAAAAAAAAAAAAAAGTTTACTTTAAAGTGATAGCAAACTCTTTTTTTTTTATTTTACTTGCAGGTAAGCTTATAATAAAGTTTACCTGCAGGTAAAATGAATATCTCCTAAATGTGCACC